ATGATGATTTTAGCGACAATTTTAACTCTATGGCTTTGCCGGGTTTCTTTTCTCTTTCTTTCGTTTTTTTTCTGTGAAAATCTCTCTCTCTCTCTCTCTCTCTCTCTCTCTCTCTCGCTCTCTCTTCCCCCATCTCTTTCTTTTTCTCCTCAAAAATTCTGCCAACGAATAAGAATGTAATGTACTTCTGTTTCATTTTTCCCCATTTTCCAACGCAGCCATTTTATTATTACTTTTATTATTTTTCATCTTTTCTGTTTACTATCATTGCCGTTTTACTGTTTTCGCATATGCGATGTAAGTGTGAATAGTTGCAAAAGCAATTTTTGTAATGCTCGGTTTCCTTACACAAATATTTCGTTGCTGTTGGCGAAATTCAACTGACGACACCTTCGCCCTCACCCTCTACTCTCCTCAAACATTTTCTCCAGGTTTGGCGCCGATTTCAATCTAACACCAAATATCATGTTACCGGCTTTCGAGATCTAAAAAAAAAATTTCTGACTAATCATTTTGTTTGCGTGCGACAAAATATTCCTTAGCGCGCTTCTGAAATCCTATCTTAAATAGCTGTGTCAGATCGAGGCTTCCATATGGACGCCATGCATGGCTCTATACTAGGCGAGAAATATCAAAATAGTCAGCTGTATACAATCGCTTTCTCAGATCAATAATGTAAAAAAAAATGGTTGCTGCTTTGTCAAGGACCATCTTTCCTCGAACCTCTTGGACTAGAGCTACAGAATCACAAACAAAATAACTGTCCTAAATAACACAAGCATTATCGCTTGAGGACTTTTAACATTAGCAACTAAATAAAAACATAAAAGTAGCCAACCATGAACATTGAGTCTAAAGCAAAAGACATGACGAAAAACACTGAGTCATGATCTACCTCATTTGCTTTTAAGAACACTGCTCACAACAACTGACCTGACACATGTTACGGTTTTTTGGGTATATTATACATATAACTAGTGAGCGAGTCAGAATGACTTATTTCCCTTTATAGTCGACCAATAGAAAGTTGACCAGTCAGAAGCCGCACAACACTGTATTCGTCGTGTATAAAGGCGGCCATCTTGTTTCCTCTACCGGAAGGACCAAAGGCGACCAGGAGAAGGATGAACTACACTCTGCTGTGATATCCACTGCGAACCTGCACTACGCTTTCCTACTGTCTCCGAAATATTCACTGCCAACCTCTGGATTCTATACTCGAGGACGACCGTCATGAAAATGTCTAACAACACATGCATCAACCCCAGGCCCTAACGATTATTTCTATCCGCCAGGTTGCTTCCCTTGCCCACAAAGACTCCCTAACATCAATGAATATACACATAGCATAGTGGTTATTTGAAAAAAATTCTGGCTTATTCATTTTTGTTTACCTTTTCACAAACAGCATGAATCTGTCATTTCTCCCTCCAGTTATTGGTTAAATTGTAGGGTAGATAGGGCTTTCAAGTCTTGATTGTCAACCAGTCTAAAAATAGGAAAAATCTGAATTCTAAACAGAATCTCAAGGCCTCATCGGTGAGGACTTTCAACAACAGCAACAACTAAAATGAATAGGACATGTCACTTATAGAGAAAATAATGACATCATCAACATGTTGTCGTTTCATATTACTTTAAATAAAAAGTTAAGAAGGAATTCCTCATCAATACTAGAATCAGAGATTTTATAAATTTCTACCAAAAGTAGCACTGGCTGCTCGGTCAATGAATGCTGAATATTTTAAGGAAACGGTTAATATTATCATTAACATTAGAGATGAGGAGAACAGATAGCACACTTTGGTGCCAGGTCAATGGACAGGGAATTAAAAAATGCATAATACAAGTAGCACTGGCTGAATGTTAAAAGAGTTCATATAAAGAAACAGTTAATATTGCTATTAACATTAGGGATGAAGAGAACAGATACTAAACTTTGATCTTGTTATACTCTACTTCAAACTAGATCTCTTTCCGATTCACTCTACATCAAAACCAGTTAGCCAGATATGAACTCTAAGAAAGCAAAACTAAAAATAAAACACACGTCGCTCTCTGCACAGAGGCTCCGGGTATCACATCTGACTCACAAAACAAATCCCTCACAAAAAACTAAAAACTAAAATGGATAGCACATCTAACTCGAAAGAAAAATGAGGACATAGTTAAGACGTTGATAATCCATACTACTTCAGATAAAAGGTTAGGAAGAAAACCTCCCACATCAATACTGGAAAGAGCTATAACAGTTAGTGAACTTAAGAAATCTATTTTTCTGAAAGATTATTTTTAAGAGAAATTTTTTAAACTTTCACCCAACAGTAACACAGGCTGTTCGGTAAATGAATGTTAAATATCTCTTTATAAGGTAAGAAATGTAATATTGCCAAATAAAAAAGAAACGTAAACATAAGTCCAGTTTACATTGGAATAAAAACATAGATATAGGTCCGGTTTACACTAGATTAAAAAGGTAGACATATATCACGTTTACACTAAAAACATTGTGTTTCACTTCTGCCCTACGTCCGCGCATGCGTTAAAGAGCGGAAGTCTTTTTTTTTACACTCCACAATAAAGTAAGAACTAAAGTAAGAAAACATATTTATGAATTCTTTTTTTTTTCATTTAAATTTAGTCAAATATACAACAGTCTTGTCTTCCATATAATCTGATCACATATATAGATAGAAAGTGTTCTTCTTCCTCTTTGGATAAGTAAACTTTAAGAAAAAATGCTTGGTTCGAGATTTGGTAAGTATGGAATGCTTGAAATGATATAATGTTTTGATTGCTTGATTGAGTGATTCTTTTTCTATGGCTTATAAATCCTTTGCGGGTTATTTAAAGCCAGGAAATATTGTTCGATTGTAAGATTTTTTAAAAAAAGATAATAATGGTTTAATGGTACAAGTCTTACTAATTAACCGACGGTTGAAGGGAGGAGAGGTGGATGCATACCATTCCCAAAGGTGTTTGCGCGTAAGTGAATGCAACAAACTAAACGGGAATTAGAACTCAGCTCTCCGATTAACAATTCCGAGCTATTACCCATTACACCACCTGCACACCCAAGCTTACAGTACCAGTTATTCCCAACTGAATCTCCCATCTAGGTACTGACCAGGCTCGACGTTGCTTAACATTGTTGATCGTATGAGAACTGGTGTTTCAACGTGACGTGGCTGTAAACCATCATGTCTCGAAGAATACTGTCAATTTTAAAGTAGTCATAGAACTTATTTTTCTTTTTAATCGGTATCACCTCATGTAAGGAAGTAAAGCCACTAAGACGCAAGGGGTTACAGGGTGTGGAAGAATTAGGAACAAAAATATTAACAATGATAGGAAAGAGAAAAGACTAATCAGGAGGATAGTAGATAGCGATTGACATTGCATTTAAATTTTTGCAGATTAAAATTAGCTGGAAAGCATGAAGCCGGAAAGCAGTTCCACAAGCAAGAAAAGAAACTGTTAGCATAGAACTTACGGCTACATCTAGACAGCTTAACTGTAAATTGATGAGATCTTAACACCAGTCTAGAACTGCACTTAAATTCAAAAAGTCTAGGTAACATAACAAAGAACTCATTCAAACATTTACCATGAAAGTGTTTATAAAAATGGCACAGAGAGGCAAGCTACATCTAGCCAGCTTAACTGTAAATTGATGAGATCTCGACACCAGCATGTAATTTTTTGTGACTTTTATGTTTTTTTTTTTTTTTTTTAGATAGAGGAATATTATTGGCTAGAAACTGAAACAAACTCTAAATTCCCTCGACATTGATTTGTTTTTAATTGTATTCTAACCGAGAAAGCAATGTAGTTGTTATTCAAAATAATAGATTAATTTGAATTATAAATAAATTATATCCAATGACAAGGTACATTCCCTCCAGATCTGTTGGAAGACAGCTCGACTTGAATTGGAACTAGGCTTTCAGATGTCCATCTACGAGCTGTTATCCTTATATATAAAACAAAGGATGTCCGTCTGTCCGTGTGACTGTCTGCGTGATAGCTTTTCACTCGAGATCCATCGAACCGATTTTGACCAAACTTGGCACCTACATTATACAATGTAAGAGATAGGTTCATAGCGTAAAAAAATCGATAATTTAAAAAAAATCAATACTCAATAAAGCCGATCAAAATCGATAAATTCAACTTATTCCCTCCAATTTCATTCAAACACGGTATGTAGGTTACTTAAATCACAAGCTCAACGATACCTCATTTTTATTTCTATGCCACTGCGTTTAGCGAAAAATCGCGAAAAACAAAAATCGATTTCAATACAAATCGATTTCAATACAAATTTTAGACTAAAACTCCTTCAGTTTTCAAGCAATCTAATACAAACTTCACTCAATTGTAGTCATCAATAAGTTGATTGTTTAACAGTCATTTAACTTGATAACTGAGTCCACCCATATCGTGAAAAACCGCGTAAGTAGCGAAAAATGGCGATTTTTACTGGTTTCTTTGTTATTTGTTATTTCTTTTTTTATTTTTCGTTGATCTTTCAACCAATTTTCATCAAGTTTAACTATTTTCTTTATAAACGTATCCTCTTTTACATCCCTGGTAGCAAACTGACAAATTGAATTTCAAAAAATCAAAAATAATTGTGGTCTGAATTGGGTCTCCATGTTGCCTGTTTTACCCCTTCATGTCCTCGGTTAACTTCGATTGAATAAATAAAGACGACTTCTGTTATATCAGTAACTGCATTCATTCAAAATGAAAATATTTTAAAGTAATTGAAGATAGACTTTTTTTACATCTAAACATGATACTGTTTTTGCTCTATTCTAATTGAACGCTTTTCTTGATCGACCAGCTGGGTATGGCTACTAGTCTATTATACCACCTGCACATTGAAGCTTACGGCAACAGTTGAGGATGAAGGACACTTGTCATGTAATGTCTGCATTATACGCTCATAATTTTGCTTTAATGTTTTCTTCTGTAGAAATAAGAACTTCATAAAATTCCAGAGTTCAACACTTGAACATTCTACACTTCTTGTTTACAGGTTCATTCAAAGATCTGAAACAAATGAAAAATATATCAGTGCAAAGAACCTTCGGATTAACACTTGATAATATAAAAGAACATCACTTTCATCTAAATCAACGCTCATTATCATTCGTTAGTATTCAAAATAAAACTTTAAGGACTTTTGCGTTATTTGAATTATAAATAAATTATATCCATTGCCCAGGTACATTCCCTTCGGATCAATTGAAAGACATTTTTGATAGCGTATTTTTGTACTGGAATATTCAAGATGAGTAATTATCATTTTTATATGCTTTCCGGTTAGTACTGGTAGGTTCATTTGGTTATTATATTCGCAGATTTCCGTCAATGTACTCTCCGTTCTTCTTCAGGTGATTTATGTTATTTATAAGCATGGCAACGACGTACATAAGCAAAATTGGAAATCGTAATAGATTTTAGCGGAACGGTATGGAGACATTATCATTTTAATGAATTAATGAACAGGGAATAGTACACAACAACAATATCAGTTATAAACACAAATGAGGAAGATTGATACGATGATACGAACAACTGGTCGCTTAGAGAGCTAGACATAAGTCCACTTTACACTAGAATGAAAAAGGAGACATAGGCCCGGTTTACACTAAAATAAAGAAAAGTAAACACATGTGTGGTTTGCACTATAATGAAAACGTCAACATAGATCCGGTTTACACTGGAATAAAAAACGAATACATATATCCAGTTCACACTAGAATAAGAAACAAAGATATAGGTCCGGTTTACACTGGAATAAAAAAAACGGATACATATATCCGCTTCACACTGGAATAAGAAACAAAATATAGGTCCGGTTTACACTGGAATAAAAACCGGATACATATATCCGCTTCACACTGGAATAAGAAACAGGTTATAGGTCCGGTTTACACTGGAATAAAAATGTGTTGACAGGTCTATTTTACGCAAAAAGTAAAAAGTAAGATATACGTCTGGTTTACACAAGATATAAAAAGTTAGACATAGATCCCGTTTATACTAAATTTAAAAACGGTAGAAATGGGCCCGGTTTACACCATAGTCAAAATAAAGACAGGCCAGCTTTACACTAGAGAGGGGAAAAACTTATTATAGTGATGCCAACAACTGAATGCCTAACAAGAGAGAAGCATTTTAGTTTTTCAATTTGGTGCATAATACAGACCAGAATTTATGAGACGAGGATTGGACAAACTGAAAGGAGAAAAAAAATGATAATGTGTTGTTTTCTCCGTTGGAGGGTGACCTTCCTAATTTTCCACTTGTCTAGTCGAGGCAATCCCGTGGACAACCACTCACGTGACCTTGTGGCTAATCATATCCAAAATAGACAGTTTTGAATGTAGCTGATGCAACTTTTTACAGGTGTTCCACTCCACGAAGTTGAGACTTTATTCATAATCTGCATCAAGCATGGTTACCAGTTTCTCTCAAATTCTCCTTCCAAAGAGATTATTTTCTAACCCTATCAGAAACATTTCTGGTTATTTATTTCCGGTTCCTCCCTGACCTTTTCAAATTCACTTGTTGTCGTACTCTCCTCGCTAAGTGCCACATCATCTCAAATATCGGCCGGCATAACGATATATTGAAATATCACCCGTTACATAGCATCTTCAGAGGTTTCAGGTGTGGCTCAAATACTATAAAATATTAACGCTGACTCAAACGCTAACTTAGTAAAAAATAATCTATACTATTTTTCTGCGTGTTTGTATGTACGATTGTTACGTGTCTTTTTTTTTTACCAAGGATCTTTGAACCTTGGTAAAAATACGGAGAACAGGAAGGACGAAATATTGTCATGACAACAAAGATGAAGGAATATTGAAGCTGCTAAGAAAGTTGGTTCTCTGTGTAGTGCGAGACAATTTTCTCTCCAGAATCTATCTTACATATCTATAAGTCTGCCATTCGTCCACGCTTAGAATATTGCTGCCACATATGATCCGATGAGCCTACTATTTACCTTCAGCTCCTTGATAAGATCCAAAGAAGAATCACTTATATTATTGGTCCTGATCTGGCAGCTCGGCTTCAGTTAATTTACCACCACCGTAAGGTTGCCTCTCTGCGCCTTTTCTATAAATACTTTTATGGTAATTGTTCGGATGAGCTCTTCGTTATGGTACCTAGATTTTTTAAATTTAAGTGCAGTACTAGACTGGCGTCGAGATCTCGTCAATTTATAGATGAGCTGGCGAGATCTTGTCGAGTGTTCTATGCTAACGGTTTCTTTAATCGCACTTCTCGCTTGTGTAACTCGCTTCCGTCTCCACGTTTACCAGCCAACTTTAATCTGCGAAAATTTAAATGCAATGTCAATCGCTATCTACTGTCCTCCTGATTACTCTTTCCTCTTCCCGCTCATTATTAATGTTTCTGTTCCTAATTTGTCCATACGCTGTTACCCGTTGTGCCTTAGTGGCTTTACTGCCAAGCTGATAACGATTTTAAAAAAATAGTCCATTTTGTTTTTGGTTTTGTTTAACGGCGTTCATCCCAAGCAAGGCAGTAAAACTACTACGATACAATTGTTTACTGGGTGTGGAAGTATTAGAAAACAGAAACATTACTAAGGAGCTGGAATAAAAGAATGATTTCCAGAAATTCAAAAGCAAATATAATATTATTAGTATCTTTGGTCATAACTAATTTCCGCTTTTGTTTACTCATTTTATACTTACAAATTTGCAATTACATTTTATCCAATTATATATTCACCATATATATTTTTCTGCCTTCGGGGCCCTCCTACGATTGCAAAAGTCAAATAGTTAACCCCAAAACTGGGGTCAAAACACTATGAGAGTGTAAAAATAGGTTTTAATACCAGAAATACTTTTACCAGCAATAAATTTTTAAAGGAAAATTATTACCAGCAATACATTATTACCATAAATACATTTTTGAAAAAAATTACCAGCTAAACACTGAAAAAAATATTATCAGCAATAAAAATCTTGTTGGCATTAAATAATTGATAAAAGAAAAGAAAAGAAAACAAAATTTATTTTTACAATTTCATGGTGTTTTGATCATGGTTTGGGGGTTATATATTTGCCCATAGCTGGGACCATAAATGGTGCTACCACCCCGTGTCAGGGGGGAACTGAGAATACCAGCAATTAAAAGGTGGTTCAACGCCCCTCAAAACCTACTGATCAGAGGCCTTGCTGTTGGATGTAGTTTATTGTTTTACCCAGGACGGATATCTTTTCAGAAAAATTCCGCAGATTTTGAGGTGATAAAACGTTTTCGGCGAGCTCTTGAATCTGGATTTTATTACAGATTTTTTTTCTCGTCTATTGTTTTGCAGAAATCAAAAAAAATGCCATAATAGGTTGGTGCCAGGTCAGGTGAATGCAGGTAGAACATGTCACTCGAATTCCAATATTTATTTATTTATTTGGTATTCCAGTTGTATGCAGCATTGTGTCTTAATGGAAAACAACATTTTTTTCTATTGACGAGCTCGAGACTGTTTTCGACCTAACTTCTATAGACACGTTGCAACTGCTGAACGTATAAGTGTGCATTTAACGCTTCATTGCTTTGAAAAAAATCTAAATGAATTATACCCCCGGCGAGCCAACCACACGCTCAACATAATTTTTTTCCACGGAGGTCAGCTTTTGAATTTGATTGTAGAGAGTTAGCCTTTTGCATCGAACAGTGTCAAATCCATTTTCATCGCCATCTATGAAGATGATAAATTTGTCATTAATAATTGGTTCCCCCAAACGAAAATTACTTATAAATCAAGCTAATACAACCTTTTCAATCTTACTCACAGCCTCCTCCTCACACAAACTCGACTATCTGCGCAAAAGGGTCTAAAAGTGACTCATTCAATCAAGCGACACGACATCAGTGTAAGTGACAAGGTATCATCTTACTAGTGTCCATCTCTCACTCTAAAATGAAACGGTATTACATCCTGTCTATGTCACAGCGACGCTCCAAGGGTCGAAACGTTGTGACAAGAACAACAAAGATGATGACAATAGTCTTCATGGGAAAAATATAAATACATGATTGATTTCTTGCTTACAAAAATCTGCATTATTTTACTGGACTACGTGTTTTGTTAGGCATTAACGATCTGTGTTAATCTATCTATCTATCTATCTATCTATCTATCTATCTATCTATCTATCTATCTATGTCAGTTTGTTCGTATATATCTATCTATCTATCTATCTATCTATCACTTTGTTCATACATATCTATCTATGTCAGTTTGTTCATACATATCTATCTATCTATCTATCTATCTATCTATCTATCTATCTATCTATCTATCTTTGTTCATACATATCTATCTATCTATCTATCTATCACTTTGTTCATATCAGTCTGTTCATATATATGTATCTATCTCAGTCTGTTCATACATATCTATCTATGTATCTCTCGGTCTGTTCATACATATCTATGTCAGTCTGTTCATACATACATATCTATCTATCTATCTATCTATCTATCTAGCTAGCAGTGACTGTCTATCTCTCACAGTTGTCACAGCTACGCTATCGCTTAACCTTTTACGAGACACATGCGTTATACGGCTGATTTTATGTCTATTTTGACACTTTAGTTTATTTAACCTTTGAATTTATACGACTGAAATTGCTTTATTTTTCCCTTCGTTTAGGTGTTTATTCCTCACTTTTTATCTATTTCCTTCCTTCCTTCCTTCCTTCCTTCCTTCCTTCCTTCCTTCCTTCCTTCCTTCCTTCCTTTCTTTATCAGTATTTAGATTTGATCTCCAAACTGACATAATTTTGCCCTCCACCTTTAATATGATCAGACGGAGCTACACCTGTCGTTTGGCACAGATGCGTTACAAATATCCTGTCGACTCATCATTGGACTGTATCCACAAAAAAAAAAAAAAAAAAATAAAATAAAAGCTCCGATCTTTACCACCCCCATCTATAAATATGTCCCTTGAGCGAAACGCCATCTTGGGAGCAGTGTAGGGTAAACTCATCAAATAAGGCACTAAGAAAGTAGGAGAGAGAAGAATAGCAGAAAAAAAAAGAGAGGACGTGGAAAATAACGCATAAAAGATAAATGGTAAGTAAGAAGAGAAAAAAAAGAAAGACAAAGGAATTAAAATGGGGAGAAGGAGAAATTGAAGAACTAAAAAGATAAAAAGAACATGGAATGAGCAAGGTAAAAATAGAAAGAAAAAGAAGGAATTTTAAGGAAATGAATGATAGGAAAAAACTATGTAGAAAGAAAAGGAAACAGAAGGAGTGAGGCAGATCTATTTTCGGGTTAAGATATTTTAAGCACAAAAAAAATGTCTTAAAGTGCTCGGACGAACTATATTCCTTAGTTCCACCAGTTCTAACCTTCACGGCTAAGACCCGCCATGCCACTCACATCGTAGCGAACCAGCCTCATTCCGTTCGTATTCCGTTGGTGAAATGTAAGTTCCACTCGAGCAGCTTTTTCACACGAATCGCTGCTTTGTGGAGCGGATTCCCAAGAGGATGCTTCCCTGATCATTACAATCTTTACCTGTTAAGGACTAGGGTTAACCGTTATCCTCCCTACATATCCGACTAACTCTGCATCTTAATCTGTAACCCTCTACCTCAAGTGGCTCTTGGGCCTTCTACGGAGTGAACGTCACTTAAAAAAATTGAATCCTGAAATCGCATCGTTTATATATTTTTCTTCTTTTCCTGTTTTTTTTTAATCTTTTTTTTTGTCTTCTTTTTATTTTGTTCAGAATTTCATCTCTTTTCACTCATCCCCGAGTTTAAAAATATATTTTTTTTTTATACTGAATATTGTTTTTCCTACAAGTGGAATACAAGTTTTTCCCTTATTTTTCTTTCTTTTCTTTATATTTTCTATATGTTTTAAGGCGTATAAAGAAACATTCTATATAGGTGCAACAGAAAAAAAAACTACTAAAAGAATGATATTATAACCATTAAATCTATTTCAAAATAAGAATATGCCAATGACACTAATCTTTTAAAATATATGTGAAGAAAAAGATTATAACTAAAATTAAATAAAAAAAAAATAATAAAAGGAGCATTATCATACATTGATAACAGTAAAAACTATAGACACTGTTTAGAAGAAATATTACAAAATAACATCTGTCTATATTTCTGAGATGAGGTATTATGTACATTATTTACATTATTCGGACTATTGTCCTCATCTTTGTCGCCATATTTATTACAACGTTTCGACCTTTGTACGCTCCGGCCTTCTTCAAGTGGTTGGAATGTCGAACTGAACCCTTTATTTCGCTCACTGGGGTAGACTGTTCTAGTTCCATGTCCCATGTTTAATGGATGTCAGTTATCAGTTATCTCCTGTTAATTTTCCCTCTGAAAGTTCTCCACTGCCTTAGCCGGGTATTGAACTCACACTCTATGGGTTCTGTCACTGGATCTAACCAACGCCTTTATCCACCCGGCTTTCATTTTTGGCGTAATTTAGACTACAATTTATCCATCGTATCCTGTGTAAACTGCCCGAAGTTCATGTTTGTTCCGTTTTGCGCAAGTCGTTCCAACCGTCTTGATCATTATTAAGAATCGGGCGATGCCAGTGTGCTACAGAAGATTCTGCTTGATATACCTGGTATTTTTACAGAGCTGAGATTTGAGTAACAATTAAAGCAATGTATGTGCATATATGTATTTGTGCGTGTGCGTGTGCGTGTGCGTGTGCGTGTGTGTGTGTGGTGTATTTGGAAAACATTCAAGCATTCTGAATATGTTGACGATCTATTCTTCGGAAAAGATAACCACCGGTAAAGGGACGCAACTGCGTGTATGCTAATAATGTTTTGATGTTTGGATAACTTATTGCGTTTTACGCAAGTGACATGTTTTTTTTGTTTTTTTTTTTGTTTGTTTTTTTGTTTTTATTGATTCAATGACGTAATAACTTACAAGCTCGGGGGAAATAAATTGGCGCCAAATTAGTCTCGGGGCGCATCATGGCACTAAATCTATTAAATCACGTTTTACTGGTCATAACCTATGGCGGAATGCGACAACAATATTTATTTATTTATTTATTTATTTAGAGAGAGAGAGAGAGAGAGAGAGAAGAAACCAATGAAAGGGCGAATCAAAATGCCGAGCCGTTCGTTGATTCATTTCTTTAAGACTTTTCACTGGTTTATTAAGTTCAGTAATTACTTAGTCTTCCCTTTCCATAGCTCTGTGTCAGACTAACTCAAGTTTACACTCCGCCAAACACACACACACATATTTAGTACATAACTTATTTTTTATTGATTAATTAGTTTTTTAACGGCTTATCAACCTGTTGCGGGTTATTGAAAGCTGGAAAATATCTTTAAATTGTAAGAATTTTTTTTTTAGATAATCATGATTTACTGTTACCAGTACTATTAATTAACCCATAGCTGATTGGGGGTGGGGGCGAAGAATATGTGGATTCATACCTTACCCAAAGGTATTTGCGTGTAAGTAAATATAACAAACCCGACTGGAATTGGAACCTGGCGCTCAAAATTCCAGTTCCTATCCGTTATCCATGACGCTACCGCTCTTCCAAGCTTACAGCACCTGGTATTCCCAAGTGGTCACCCATGAAGGTATTGACCACGCTCGCGTTGCTTAACTTCTTTGATCCTACGGTAACCAGCGTTTTCAACGTAAGACCTACATAACTTTTATAATGGTTTATTGTTATAAATATTTTATTATATTATAATATTTTTTTGTCATCCGCAGATTTTTCTAAATGTTTTGGTTAATTCGTTTAGTGTTTTTTTCTTTTTACGTCTTATCAACTATTTCGTTGGATATTAAAAGCCAAAACATATTTCGGAATATAGGGGATCGACTACAGTCGTGGCAGTTTATAAAAATGTATTAAGAAACAGAAAATATTGTCAGAAACTAAGAAAAAGGCACTGAACTGTTACGTAATATCAGTCCCCCTATATGACAGTGAATACTGGATAATCTCCTCACATATGAAGAAGAAACTTGAAGCAGCAGAAACAAAGAAAACGAGTACTGAACTGTTATGTAATATCAGTCCTCCAAGTCCAAATCTCTGTAATGAACTGAAATGAATATCTGTAATATCAGTCCTCCAAGTCCAAATCTCTGTAATGAACTGAAATGAATATCTGTAATATCAGTCCTCCAAGTCCAAATCTCTGTAATGAACTGAAATGAATATCTGTAATATCAGTCCTCCAAGTCCAAATCTCTGTAATGAACTGAAATGAATATCTGTAATATCAGTCCTCCAAGTCCAAATCTCTGTAATGAACTGAAATGAATATCTGTAATATCAGTCCGCCTATATTGCAGTGAATACTGGACAATCTCTTCACAGATGAAAATTACAGAAATGTGGTTCTACAGAAGGATGCTGAGAATACCATGGACTGAATATGTGAGCAACGGCGAAGTTTTAGAGAAAATGGAAACAAAAAGAACACTTAACGCAAATTAATTGAAACAAAACTGTTAATTCTGTTATTATTTATTGTTTTTTTTTTTCAATAAAACATGACCAGTGCACATGTTTGTACTTGCAGATTGCACATTTTCTCGATTGAATTTAAATCAGGAGAGTTTCCGGGGCTAGTCTATAGTACTTTGATTTGCTAACTAGTAAGGCTGGCCAGTGTGTTCGTGCAGTGCTGCAATTTTCATGCACTTCCTTGGAGTAACGTACATCGCAGACAATGGCCGTGGGACAACTAATCGACAAATGAGACTATAGTGTCTGGGCGTAATAAAATTCTGATGCAATCACGGATGACGCAATATTTTCAAGGCCAAACAGACTTCATCGTACAACCCGGAAATAGAGTGATATTACTGCACACCACTGCAAATGACCATATCTGAGGAAAAATGGAAATCGATTATATCCTGTCACTCCAGTGGGTCTAAAACTGACTGTATGGTGAAAGAAAGGAAACTAAAGCGGTTGTTTCAATTAGTTTGGACAAGGGTGTATTTTGTTATTTTCATATTTTCTTCTAACAATGATAATGTTAGGCTGATGAAAAAATATCGGGACTGGTGCTATAAAAAAAACTACAACACACATCACTTCGGCATTTAATCTCCTTCGAACTAGTCCTCTTTTGAAATCGCACACTTTATCCAGCGCCATTTCCATGGATGGACGCATTAATGGAAATCCTTTTGTGGGATAGCGCGCAGTTGCCTCGTTACATTCTATTAGATATCATCAACGTTTTGATATCTTGTTCCTTTCAAGTGGGAATTGATTTTTGAAGAGGAAAAATTTGCAAGAAGCAAGATCTGGAGAATATGGTGCTTGGCGCATCTGAGGAATGATGCGTTTGGCCAGAAACTTCTGCATAAGCGATGGTCACTGATGGAACCACTGTTGTGTCGTGAGACGACCACACTCTACACATTTTCCTTCCAAGCACTGCTGTAACCGGCGGAAGAGAGCGAGAACGTTATAACTTAGTGCGTATGCCCGACAGAATTCAAGATTAATCTGTGCCAAACGGCTTCACTTTACGTACTTTATTCCGTTACCATAGCAACAGTCCCGATACTTTTTGATTAGTCCTCGGAGATATCTATTTTACCAACTAATTCATCTTTTCATATAATTAATGATAAACTCAAATAATTTGAAATTAAAAGCGCCCAAACCACATCAATATAAAAAATAAGTTTTTATAAATATTGTTCAAATGTTGGTATATAAATAATCCCTAACAATTCACCGTCCTGGGTAAGACGATAAACTACATCCGCGCCCTGGGCAAGACGATAAACTACATCCGCGTCCTGGGCAAGACGATAAACTACACCCGCGTCCTGGGCAAGACGATATACTACATCTGCGCCCTGGGTAAGATAATATACTACATCCGCGTCCTGGGAAAGACGATATACTACATCCGCGCCCTGGGTAAGACGATATACTACATCCGCGTCCTGGGTAAGATAATATACTACATCCGCGTCCTGGGTAAGACGATGAACGATATCCAATAGCAAGGCCTCTGATCAGGAGGTTTTGAGGAACGTGGAACCAGCTCTTAATTCCTCTTAAGTGTTCTCAGCTTCACCCTGTCCCGGGGTGGTAGCACCTGCCAGGGTCCCAGCTATGGGCAAATAGTTAACCCCCAAACTGGGGTCAAAACACTATGAAAGTGTAAAAATAGGTTTTACTACCAGTAATACATTTTGTTAAAAATTAATACCAGCAATGAATTTTTGAAGAAAAAATATTACCAGCAATACATTTTTGAAAAAAAATTACCAGCAATAAAAATCTTATCGGCATTGAGGCTGATATGCCGTAAAACAAACCAAACGAAACCAGACCTAACAATTCAGAATCAATAAAATTTTATTAATTTTAAGAAAAATATATTAAATATATTACATAATTCACAGCAGCAAATAAAAATATTCGATACCATACATTGACGCGTGAAGACGTAATACTCGAAAACCATATTGCAGATGTTTGGACGAGTTACTCCCCTTCGTAGCATCCGGGCACAGGCCTTCACGGCGAGGACCCGCAACGCCATGTTCACTATAACAAACCATCCCCATTCTTTTCGTGTTTCTTTGATAAAAAGCAAGGTCCACCCGGACAGCTTCTTTCCCCAGAACTCTAGGACCCGTCATGCTTGTTTCGAACCCCCACCCCCGGCATTCTCTTCGTGTCTCATTGGTGAGAAGTGCTACTAGAGCAGCTTTTTTCTCACGAAGCACTGCTCTGTGGAACCGACTCCCAAGATGATACTTTCCCGATCGCTATAATCTTAACCAGTTCAAGTCTTGGTTTAACCATCATCTTCTTTACATACTCGCATAAACTATTCTTTTTACTCAGTAACCCTCTACAGCGAGTGGCTCTTAGGCCTTGCACAGGATGAACCTCACTGTAAAAAAAAAAAAAAAAAAAAACTTATTTTGTGAAACAAAATCCTGAGAAAATGCTTCCTTGACAACTACAATCTTAGTCTTAATAAGTCCAACGTCAACCAATATCTATCTTACTCGTCTTCACAATGCTCTACATTGAATGATTCTTGGGCCTTGTCTTGAATGAACTAACGGTAAAACACGCACACACACACAAAAAACAATGATTTACTATATATACAATACTGGGCACTTCGACGGGGTGTAGTGGTTAACAAGCATGTCTCGCTAGATCAGTTACACTGAGTAGATGCTCCGGATATTCGGCCTTGTGCCACATCTAAGCCACGCTTCGTTGGTCGTCAAGAAAACATGCATATATATATATATATATATATATATATATAGAGAGAGAGAGAGAGAGAGAGAGAGAGAAAGAGAAAGAGAGAGAGAGAGAAGATAGATCTGAATAAGCTGTGATACAGCTTAGATAGATAGATAGATAGATAGATAGATAGATAGATAGATATGAAAAGACGGAGAAAGATTGATAGATAGATCTGAATAGGCTGAGATAGAGAGATAGATAATTTACACCCTCAGATAGATAGATAGATAGATAGATAGATAGTGTGTGTTTGAAAATTTTCTGAAAGATTTGGATTAATGGCTTGATAATGTTTCCCCGAAAAACGGAAATTCCTTGTTTCAAACCGTTTGGATGCTTTTTGCAGACACTCATCACTGATCTATATTTATTCATATTGAAAAATGCCATTACTCCTGGAAAACAGAAGAGTCAGTTGTTTTGCTTTAAAAAAAAAACGGGGTAAAACTCTATTCATATAATTATAATGATATACGAAAAAGGTACGTTTTTTACACAAAGGATTTTAACTTAAAGAAACGTTTTGTCAGAAAGGTTGTTGTTGATGTGTTTCCATACAATATTTTCTAATTAAGAAAAGCGAAAAAAGGAGTGAAAATTAATCCTGTAAATATTTCGAGATTATGTAATTAAAAAAATTAAATATTAAAATATTAATATTTAAATATTTCGAGATTATGTAATTAAAAAAATTATTCAAGATTGTTATTAATTTATAATAATCTGCAACAATTCTTAATTATGGATACTCTTTTTTTGTTCTTGGACACGTGATGAAAGAATACTGACGTCAGGACTAAAATAAATTTCCGCGTATTCTAGTAACATAGTAGTATTAGATATAATAATATTCCGATATATGAACTGACCCATTATCAGTTACTATTTTCGACTATTATCTGTTCATCTTGATTTCTGCTACTTTTTATCTCAACTCTCCAGACCGTCATTCTACGATCGTTTAATTAGAAACATATATCGGAAATAATGAACACGTTTCCAATGAGATTTCTATTTGGTCCACTTAAACTGGCGCCTTACCGATTAGGCTGCAAAGGCCACCTAATCCTAATTTTTTAAATCTCTGAATGTCAAACGCCGCCATCTCGTATTTATTTTTATGTTTAAGGTAGTATTAGATATAATAGTACTCGAATTTTTTAGATGAAGCATTGACAATAATTAATGTTCATCATACATTAATTTATTAACAAATTTATTTATAATTTTCCTTCTCCTCGAACGAACAGTAACCATAATGGTTTTTAGTTCCTTTCCATGTAAGTTGTTAAAATTAGCTGTCGTATCTCCCACTGAATGTTGGTGTCCTGAGTATGACGATAAACTGCATCCGCGTCCTGGGTAAGACGATAAACGACGTCCAACAGAAAGGCCTCTTATCAGGTTTTGAGGAGCGTGGAACCTCCTCTTAATTGCTGGTGTTCCCAGGTCCACCCTCACCCGGGTGGTAGCACCTGTTAGGGTCCCAGCTATGGGCAAATGGTTGATCCCACAACCTGACTCAAAACACTATGAAAGTGTAAAAATAGATTTTAATTAAAATTAGTATCAGCAATAAATATTTGAAAAAAGAAAATATTACCAGAAATAAAAATCTTGACAGCATTAAATAACCCATTGAGTTTAATATGCCATAAAACAAAACAAACCAAACTATACATTTTTTATCTTTTATTTTTTTTAAAATATTACCAGCTACACATTTTTGAAAAAAAAGGTAATTTTGTCGGTATTAAATAACCCATTGCCGTAAAACAAAACAAAACAAAACAAAACAAAATAAACCCATTGAATAATGCAGCGTTTAATTTTTAGAGACGGTCTCTCCTTGCCACTGACAGGCATATTCATCGAAAAATAATCTGTCGCTGGACACACTACAATCTTTTGCCACATCCTCACGTTTCGATCAAGTACCTTCCAACCATCATCAGGTTTCCATTGTTTGACTGATATGGGATATTTGTTTATTATTATTATTTTGTCTCTCTGATGCTAGTTATTGTTCGTTTTTTAACTAGTTTATATTGTTTCACTACCGAAAACAGGGATTGACCTGAGGATCACTAACTGGAAATAATTAACACATCAATAGGAACATTACTTTAGTCTAATAAAGTCCTTTTAGATGATGAACGGAGAGAATTCTTCCACTTTTTCATTCAATACCATACCTGTTTATCTAACTCCTATATCCACCGATAGATTAGTGGTGTATTTTTTAAACCTTTAAAAGCAATACCAGATGATTTCGACATTTGGTTATAATGTCGGGTTTCTACCTTTTTTGATAAAGTTTTATTAAAATCGGTACGAACCCACCATGATAGTAGAACGATACACACCGGTTTAACAGAGACAAACAATAATTGATATCACAGGGACAAGATAACCAAATAACAGACATATATTTTATGCCAGCCAAAATAATGGACACCTGAAGATGTCCAGATGGCACTAGGCCGAAACGTAATATCTAAAATAACTGTAATAATCAATATTAGAACAATTGTTTAAATAAATTAAAGAGATAAGTGTATACTCTTGAAAATCTTACTCTACCATGATAGAGAATGTTTTAAATGTTTATTACTGCTTATGCTGCCATATGTCTAACTGGACCCAGAACATGTATTTATTATTACCGGATCTATCTTCTAATAAGGCTTCACTCTTCTTTGAGCTGTTTTGGTTTACAAGGTCCTCAGTACGTTCATTGAATATTCTGCCATATCTGGTCTTCTGCTCCTGACTTGGCATCTCAACTTCAGCCATTTTCCATCCGCCATGACTTGGCTTTCCTCTGTCTTTTCTACAAATATTTTCATGACGGTACTGCTTGGGTGGATACTAGGTCTCACCGTTTTACTGTTGGAATAGCTTGATGTAACCGGAAGTTCTATTCTAGTTGTTTCTGATCACCGGTGAAACGTTCTTCCGGTTTCTTATTTCCCTGCTATCTATAAACTTTCAAAAATTTAAATGCAATGTCAATCGTTATCTTCTGTCTTCTTGATTACTCTTCTATTGTTCTCACTCCTTAACAATGTTTCTCTTTGTTTCTTATTCTGCAGTTGAAAAGGCTAGGTGTAACCGTAAGTTCTATGCTAACAATTTCTTCTATTCTTCTTCTTCCTGTTTCATGCTTTCTGGTCAATCTTAATCTTCAATAATTTAAATACAATGTCAATCATTATCTTCTGTCTTCTTAATTCTTGTTCTTTTATTGTTCTGTGTCCTTAATTGTAGTTTTTCCTCATATTCTCTAACACTCAGTAACCCCCTTGCGTCTTAGTGGTTTTTTGTCTTGCTTGGGGTGAAATGATTAAAAAAGATGTCCATTTTTTTGTGGGTATGTATGTTAAACGTTTTATATATACTATCATTTTTGATGGCATACGTATTAATGTAAGATCCTATTGAATATGAAGTAAGGGATCAGCTTTCTATTATTATTGAATAATAAAATACTGTCTTGAATTATAAAATAATAGTGTTTTCAGATGCTGATTGTGAATTTTAGATGAATGTCCTCTTCCATCATGACCTTCAAGACTCGCCTTCCCACTGCGAACTTCAGAAACCAGGGACTTACTGTCCAATCACAAGTGAATCATTTCACCCCTCACCTCTGTTAATTTTGGCAGCAGTTTTAGGAGCATTATGATCAGGCTTGAACTCATGCAAAATTAAACACATCTTTTTACATGTTCAAGTTGAGGGATATATATATAATGTTTTAAGTTAAATTCTGAAAGAGATTGATATAAAATGAACTACTTTTTTACTTTAATCATTAATAAAGTGATATATTTTTTGCAACTATTATTATAATATATTAGAACACAATAAAAAGGTTTATTCTAAAATTGGACATTATCTTCCGTACAAACTAATTTATTTTTTGTCATATATACAACAAATGTTGATATCTATATTTTCTAGACAATTTTGGCCGTCAAAATCCATTTTGTATATTTATAAATCTGCCATTCATCTGTGCATTGAATATTGATGTCATATCTGGTCTGATTCTCCGAGTATATATCTTTAGATTCTTAACAAATTCCAAAGAAGGATCTGTAATGTTATCGGTCAGGATCTGGCATCTCAACTTCAATCACTTTCCCATCGCCATCTGTCAACTCCTGTCTTTTCAATAAAATATTTTCATGGCAGTTGTTCTAATTAGGTTTCCTCCTTTCTACCTCGAAGGCGTGAACTTTAGCGTATTACTAGATTGGCAATTAGGTCTCATTATTTTAACCTTTAGCACTCTGCATTAGTAATATTACTTCTCTTTTCATTGCATTCTTTTTCAAGGCCTCTCAATTGCAGTAACCTTATTGTTAATTTCATTCAAAATTGTTTTCTGTTGCCATAGTAGGATATGACAACACAACTATGAAATTCAAACAAATTCAAATTCAGAGATCAAAGCCACCTTCAATGGCCGGGTAAACTTTTTGTACATCAAATGAAGTCACACACAAAGTGATAAAGGTTGCAATAGCTAGATGTAACTGAAAGTTCTATTCTAATACTTTTTTCTCACCTGTGGAACTCTCTTCCGATTTATTTCTTTGCTGTCACCTACAATCTTCAAAAATTTAAATGCAATGAAAAATGCAATCTTCTGTCTTCATAGATAAATTTTTATTGTCCTTTCTCGTCGCTAAAATCTTCTCATTCTCTTCCACATTCAGTGATCGCTTGCTTCTTAATGGCATTAACACCTTCCTTGAGGTGAAATGATTAAAAAAAAATTACGTAGTAACTTGTATGGTTGCCCCCCCTACTAGTTTTGATGGACAGCTCAAATAATCGATTACTGATTGTATTTTCATAGCTGTTTTATCATTTGTTCGAGCAGTTGATAAAGGTAGTCAAGATACATATCTAATTGAGTCATTTTGAGCTTCAGAGAGATAAAAAAAAATGGCTAACCGGACACTGAAAGATTACAAAAATGCAATCACAATGTAAGGGGTGATGAGAGGAAGGATGCGCTTGTAGCAGGAAGGAGAAGAAGGACAGAGAGAGAGAGAGAGAAAGAGAGAAATAGTAAAAGGAACAAGAGTGAGAAAGAGAAAGAGACAAAAATAAAATATTAGAAGAGAGAAAAAGAAAGAAGCTGGAGAGAGAGAGAGAGAGAGAGAGAGAGAGAAACTAAGAAAGAATTAGAGAGAAGTGAGAGAGAAGAAAACGAGAGAGAAAAGAGAAAGAGAAGAAAAAAGAAAAGAGAAGGAAAGACATAAAAAGAGAGAGAGAGAGTGTGTGCGAGAAAAAAAAAAGAAAAACAAAGAGAAAAATGAGGAAAAGAAGAAAGGAGAGAAATAAAATTTGAGAGAAAAGAAGGAAAGAGAAATTACAAGAGGAAATAATAGAGAGAGAAAAAAGAGAAAGGGGAGACCCGAGAAAGAAAAAGTGAAGGAAAGAAAATGATCAAAAGAAAGAGAAAGACGAGGAAAGAAGGAAAAAAGAAGGAAGGAAAGAGAGCGAAATTGAGGGAAAAGAATAGATAGAAAGAAAGAGAAATAGGGAGATTGAGAAAGAAAGAAAGATAGATAGATAGAAAGAGTGCAGTTGAAAACTCAAAATGGAGAGAGAACAAGAAAGTTTACCCATACAGATTTAGCAAGCAAAACGGGCGGTGTATCTTATGTAATGTGAGATGCAAAGATTAAAGTACCATATACTGTCAAATTTAAGCCATAGTTGTTATCTTTACGGATTACTAAAAGAGAAATGTCACTTAGAAAATAACTTTGCGTAACACGAGGAGATGTCTATACTATTCCTGAATACGTGACTACAGTCTTCTGTTTTTTTGCTATAATTCTCTCGTAGACACTGATACCCAAAACGAGGCTTCTGCCAACCAACATATCACATTTGTAACTCAAAATGACAGTTAATTGATTTTTTAATTGCTATTTCTGTTCATCATGCTTTTTTTTTTCGTATTTACGTCATCTTTTTCTAATTATCGCGTCTCTTCTAATATCCAAAGAATTTCCTCTTTTTCAATTTTTCTCTTTTACTCTTTCTTGCCATTATTTTTACTGGCTTTCTTTTCATAGTTTTCTTTTCTCTTCTTTTTTCTTTTCTTTTCTCTTCTTTTTTCTTTTCTTTTCTCTTCTTTTTTCTTTTCTTTTCTCTTCTTTTTCTCTTCTCCTCAAGTTCTTTCTCTTTTTCCCCTTTTGAGGCTTCCATGCATTTTTTATGCCTTAAAAAAAAATTATTTACATTTATCAGCGCCGCCTATCGGCACTTTTCATCCCATCTGCACGTTTGTTTCAACGGCTTACAAAAGCACTCTCGCGTTGCCTGATAAGATCCTTATATATATATATATATATATATATATATATATATATATATATATATATATATATATATATTCCAAATAGGCTGCGTGTTTCCCATAAAGAAAAAAAGAACTCGCCCCTTTCCTCACCATCGACGTATAAGATTACGCGTGTTGCAGATATTTGTAAAGGTCAACGGGAGGAGGCTTATCTATACTGTTGCATACGCGTGACACGGCAGTTATTTCACAACCTCTTCCGCGCAACAAAAGAGTTCATCTTCCCGATCACAAATGCTCAGCTGATTGGCAACATCTGCTAAATTCTGGATCGGTCTGTTCATACCTATCAAAGTCTTATGGTCACACATCACGTTGAAACACCAGTTCTCGTACGACCGAGACGTGTAAGCGTGAGTAGAGCAATAGATAACGTCTCGCAATTGGAAGTCGGAGAGCCGAGTTCCAATTGCAGTCTCGTTCGTTATATTCACTTACTCGCAAATATCTTTGGGGAAATTATGAATCCACCCTCCCCCCACACGGTTTTTTGTGTATATAATACATATAACTAGTGAGCGAGTCAGAATGACTTATTTCCCTTAATAGTCTACCAATAGAAGATTAACCAATCAGGAGCCGCACAACACTGTATCCGTCGTGTATAAAGACGGCCATCTTTGTTTTCCCACCGGAAGGACCAGAGGCAACTTGTCCGGCGAACACGACAGAAGGAAGAACTACACTCTGCTGTGATATCCACTGCGAACCTAAAGTACGCTTTCTTACTGGCTCCGAAATATTCACTGCCAACCTCTGGATTCTATACTCGAGGACGACCGTCATGAAAATGTCTAACACCCCCAACTATGGGTTAATTAGTGGGACACTTGTCGGTGAACCAATGTTATCTCCAAAAAATTCTTACAATCTAAAAATATTTTCTGTCTTTGAATAACCTGCAAGTTACTGATGAGCCGTAAAAATCCATCTATCAAACAATCAAAACATATTTAGAAAAATATAATCTATATACCAAAACATCTCAGCGTCCTTTTTCCTTCCTTCTCATGTGTAATCACATCAACGTAAACATCAATTTTACTCTACCATAGCATTTAAAAGGAAAATGAAAAAAATTACAGTAATGTATAACAATATACAGTTTAGTATTACTATTTGCACCCCTGAATAAAACACAATTTTGTATTACAACTTGCACCCCTGAAGATGATCCCGAAAGAAGATTGAAAGTACTTGAGAAATAAAAGCGATTTTCACAGTTAGAGCACATTTCTCACATCATTTAATTGCAATCCACGGAAGGTTATTCGAGAGTATGAACGGATTCTGTTTAAAATTAGCAGACATAATGTCTGTAATTAATTTAATCAGACATGCCTAAAAGAGAATTTGCTGCCTAAACACACACACACACACACACACACACACACACTATATGCAATGTGATGTCTTGACTTGGCATCTCGACTCCAGTCAATTTCTCACAGACGCAGCTTCCTTCTGTTTTTTCTACAAATATTTTCATGACAACTGCTCTGACGAGCTATTTTCACTGGTGCTCTGACTTTCTGAATTTAAGCGTGCTACTAGTTTGGCATCTAGGTCCCACCCTTTCACTGTCGAAACAGTTAAATGTAACTGCCTCTTCTACTCCAACAGCTTCTTCTCTCGCACTTCCCGGCAGTGGAACTCCCTTCCTCTTGCTTCTTTAATAACTATAATCTTCAAAATTTTAATTGTAATGCCAATCGACATTTTCTGATGCCTTGATCACCGTTCTTCTTTTTATCCTTTCCTCAATCCCCACTTTTCTCTTATTTTCACTCTCTGCAACCTCATTGCGTACTAGTAGCACACTCGCCTTGTTTGTGGGTGAAATGCTTAAAAAAGAAATATATTGTATAATTGGGCAGTAACCTTTCTGCTATACATTTTGTATACGTTTCATTGAATGTGACAGACAAGGAAAATAGTCTACATTTTTCCTTTTATGAAGACTAAGAGAATGTAGACAGTGTCCCTAGTGATTACTGTACAAGGCACTTTCAGTCATTTCATTAGACATTTTCAAGGGGTTCTTTGTATGTTTTCCTGTTTTTATGTTCCAAGTTCTGTTACCACCAAATCTCATTTAATACAGATTAGAATTATTATTACTTCCACACAATGCAACATAATACAATCATTTCCCGCCGAATCAAATGTTCAAATAGTAATAATAATGGTAATATTAGTCGTTTCCTCATAAAGAAACACTCTGCATTTAATGACTGATCAACCTGCATTACTGTCGGTTAAAATTTACAAAATGTTGATTAGGGCATTATCTCCCCTTCAAGTTATATGCGCAATCCATTTTAGTTGTTGCTGCTGTTGAAAGTCTTCAAGTGATGTAGTTCCGATTATTTGTTTTAAGTTCTTTGTGATTTTGTATCGCCAGTCTACGAGATCCAATGGACAATCCTCTTCAACGCCTTCAGGGTTCATTCACTTGAAACTATTTCTAATCATTGATCTGAGAAAATGGTTGCATATAGGTGAGAGTTTAGACATTTTCTGAAGGAGTTTGATGCTATTCATGACATCCACATGAGAGTCTAGATCTGACGAGGCTATCTAAGAACATGACTCAAGTTCTCATGTTAATGTTTTCATATTTTTAGCATCTTGTGGTGCAGAACAAAACAACTCCTCCCACAGCCTGTACGCTGTTCTATTACTTTATCTCGTCTACTAAATTTGTCCGTTAAAATTCCATTAACTTTACCAGAGATTCTGGTTATATACTGTCGGGATCAATTCTTCAAATTTATTTACATTTGTACATTCATACTGATATCTTTACCTTTGTTCTTAAGTTCTAGGTATGACGAGAATAATAATATATATTACAGTAAAAAAACAAAAATTACCTCAACATAGAGTATAGTCTATTTCAAGCTGTTCTGTACACGGCTATCATCAGCCCCTAAGTGTCTGTCTCGGAGCATTGTTTTAAATTTATTTTCAATGACAGTTCTCCTTTGGTGGACGCCTTATATATATATATATATATATATATATATATATATATATATATATATATATATATATATATATGAAGGGTTTTCAATAACTTGTACCGATTTTAAATTAATTTTAAGCGTCAAATGATTTTTTCTTTTTCTTTCAAATTTGGCGGACATTTGGGCGATATCATTTTTCACCCATAATTGTCATGACTTAAATAACATGATCCAATAGAGAAATAAATAAATTTTCACCAATAACACTGATTTATTTACTGCTGACTTTGATCCGTCTTAATGAAACACCCTTATATATATATAAATAGCACATATCTATGGTTATATTATTTCCAAACCTTTTAACATTTTTATTTTACTGCTAAAAAAAATAAAATACGACTCCAAGACAAGGTAAGAACCTACAAGAATCCAAGAGAAAGAAAACATAGATTTGATAGTTTTAAAAGGTCGTCGACCGAAAACTCGCGAGAAGTAAATGTACGGTAATTGAGTGCCTCCATTTTTTTTTTTTTTTTTTAGTTTTCTTTTAATTTGGTATGAAGGAAAAATTAAAAATGAGTGAGGTTAGGTGAGGTGAGAAGTGGGCGAAGATGACACAAGTGAGAAAATATTAAGCCCAACACTCCCGATGGATAGTGATATAAAATAAAACTGGTCTAATTGAGAGCAGAGTAGTTTTGTAATTAGCAAAGAGATAAAGTATAAAGAAAATACAAATAATAACTGAAAAATCTGTGCCCAAAAGATAAGAAATGGCTGCATAAGACAAGATTATAAATGCTTACACAAACCAATGTAATAAAGAGATAAATGCAAATACGTCTGTTGTTAAAGCTTGAATATCACTTCCAGAGTGACCATTGGTGTAACAAATATATATATATATATATATATATATATATATATATATATGAAGAAATATAGTCTTAAGATGTGCTATATTTATGAGCTAAAGTGCTCAATATCAGAGATAGAGCGTGTGTAAATATAAAAGTGAACATAGAAGTCAACACTTAGAGGCGACAGTCTGTTTCATGCTAGATGCAATCTTCAGGCCTGACAATTGCATCTAGCATGAAATAGACTATCGCCTCTAAGTGTTGATGTCTATGTTACTTTTTATATTTTATATATATATATATATATATATATATATATATATATATATATATATATATATATATATATATATTATATGCTCGGTACTTAGTAGAAAGTACTCAATATCTGTGATAGAGCTAACATATTCAGTTGTATGGTTATAA